CTTCTTTTGTGCTCGGATTATACACTCATAAATACATATGTAGGTGTGAGGAAATAAAGAACCCTCTCAGTCCATTGTGGTTCATCTTATTCTCCCATGTGTGGCTACTAAGGTACTGTAATGATTTTGCTACAGTTGCTACATTTTGCTTAATGGGGTTTTTTTGCCTTGTCATGTCATATCAGTCTTTTTTCCTAGTTCCCTAATTTTTCCTTTGTTTTTCATAAAACTACAATTTCTCTACAGCCTAAGAAGGAAAACAGTGACAGCTCAGCAATAGTAGTAACTCGTTTGTATTTCTTTCAGATGCAGAAATGGTAGTCTGTATATTACTGAGCTCTGATATTCTGATAGTCAAACATTTTATAGTTTCCCACTCTATTCCACCTTTCTGAGACACATTCAGATGGTGTTACCCCCATGCACGGGGGGTCTTTAACCTGTTCACAGAAATTCCAAGTCTAATGGCAATGCTGGACATTGAATTTGGGTATAATGATTCTTTTCACTTGGTACCAACAGACTCAGAAGGTCCTCAGGTAGGCTGTATCCTTGGAAGTTTTGTTGTTCTCTGTCAGCCTGGAATAACTGCAATAACCCTGGAATAACCCTCAGCTGCAGGTTCAGACTCTGCAGAATGCTGGATATGCCAACACAATCATGTGTACATGGAGGGCAAACAGGTGTGGATACCCTTAGCAGGAAATCACTGTGTCCAAAAAAAACTTTTTAGGTTTTGGACACATCACATGTTAGTCTATCAAAGAGATAATTCAGAAATCTCTCTTGTGACCTTACATTTTCTTAACATCAGTGTGGCTTTGTGGAAAAAAATACCCCTTGGGTTTTATAGCTGCTATGGATCTACTAGGATCCTGCAGTCTTTTACTTTTGCAGGAAATACATGGAAAACACTACTGAACTGGAGAGACTGGATAGTAAAGCATTGTTACATTCAGGAGTTGTTTCTTCAAATAAGAGGTGACAAAAATCAAGAAAAAAAGTTGGAAGGAAACAGCATGGCAAACCAGTCTACAAAAAGAGGAAAGAGACAGATTTTAGGTTAATTTCAAAGTGTTGTTTATGGTTCAGAACAGAAAAGAGTAGTGTTCAAGCAGTGTCATTCCTGGGAGGCTTAGAGAGCCTGCAAGTGGTGTGCACAAAACAAGGGAAGCAGTCCAGTGCTGCTGCAAGCTCCTCACTGGAGCCACCACTCTTGTTTCTAGTGCAATAGAAAACAAAAAACAAACTTCAGGCAAAATTTAAAGTATTGTTAAACTCTAGAATGGCAAGAGCAAAACAGAAGTTGCAAACCTTAGACTCTCTAAACCATTGTAATGATGCTAATGCAACACTGAAGCCTCCTGTATCCAGTACTGAAAGGTTTTGGTCTTCCAGCTGGTGAATTTCTTTAGATTGTTTTGTAAGCAAAACTAAACCATATAAAACAAAACCCTGAAAAGTCTGTCTGCTCCAAAAAGAACTATGTTAAATTCTGACAGCTTTATTGCTGTATACCAGGTGGGGAAACCCTAGGACAAATGACTTGCAAAAAATATGTATTTTTTCCATTTTCTCTTCCATTTTATTACAGTCCTCCTTGGAAAATGAAGCAAATCTTAAAAATATGCTTCTCTGCTTTCTGTATTAGCAACCACCTAATTTGTGACTTCTGCTACCTCACTTCCCAGTGTCTGCCTTGAACACATTAAAAGCTGAGTGTACTCTTCCCCACTCCCCCACCCCCATCCTGACTATCAGGGCCATTTCAATGTTTTGTGAATTGTTGCATTATTTAGTAGCTGGTGTCACTAGAATGCTGGTAGGTTTTAATCAACCATTAAAATACACTTACATGCTTCAGAGCACGTCAGCTTCTTATCTCAGGGGCTGTCTCTGGAAACAAAAATAACCCTGAAACACTTGGGTTAAGTGTAGTTATGCAAAACTTTGCTTCCTGTATGGCAGAGGCACCAAAAACATTGAAACGTCTTCTAGCTTCAGTGGCTGTGGGCTATGTTGCATACCTGGCTTCACTCAAAGCTGGTTTGTCTACTTTTCTGAGGGAGGTGAGAACTGCCTAAAGGGCACTGGTTTGTTTCTTGGCAGAGCCACAAGCTGTTTTTTCTTGATAAGAAATGAGAGGTGCAAGTTAATACCTAATACCAAGGTACTATTTTTGGCATCTATTTTTGTGGTTCTGACTTAATGTGCCTTATAGTGACCAAAGTTCCACCAGGTAAAATAGCCAAACAGTGGTTGTGTTTCTTTTTTTACCCTCTTGTATCTTGAGGTAATTCTCCTGACTTTCCTGGAGTTTGCCCTCACAAAACCAGGTGTTTGCCTGGCAGCAGAACAGTAGGTAAGCCGGCTGCCTGAGTAAAAAAAACTACACTGTAAAAGGCTGCCAGTGGGAAAACCCTGCCTAGATCTGCTACAACACCTCCTACACGGGACAGGACACCAAACAAAGTGATCTACATCTCCATTCTGCCCCTGCAGTCCAGAGTCACCTCGGAAATTTGCCCGCTGCTGTGCAAATGTGTGTCACCTCCCTGCAGCCACTGTCCTCTAGGCCAGCACCTTGATGAGCATAGCACTTGCTGAAAATGATGGGACTTCCAAAGGAGACTGGATGATTTTGGCCACAGGTTTTCATTAGGAATGTGTTCTTGTGCTCTTCAGCTGGGGCACAGGAGAAGGAAAAGAGGTGGGTATGTGATCTGTAGCGGGGAGCAGATGGTTTGCCTGTCTTTGAAACAATGAAAGTGTGACATCCACGTGGAGTGTGACATCCACGTCCCACTTTCAGTCATTGACACTTCCCTTCTCACCAGGAGAGCCTTGTAGCACCATGAGGCAAGAGTGGCCATCACTGGCAGGGGGTTGCTAAGGCTAAGAGGGACCCTTGGAAGAAGGGAATGTGAGAGGTGGGGTGCGGGAAGCAGCTGGCACAGCCCTGAGTCCAGGCAGCAGGCAGCTTGCTCACTGCTGGTGTTTTATTACAGTTTTGTTACAGTGGGGGTTCCTGCTGCCTTTTAGGCACAATTTCTGTTTGGCAGAGCTGGGTACTGCAGGTACCTGGTCAACTTTAGTAGTGCCTGGCATTCATGGAGATTCTGGCTTGTTTTTCTTCTTGGTGTAAGAGTGATCAGACCAGGGCATCAGCTTTGTAATGCCAGTTACTGTACCGGTGGAGAGGAGCATCACTAAATCAGTGTCTAGATCACTCTTTTAAGCCTAAAATCCACCTTGGCAGAAGCCAGCTCCCACTTTGATTTTCTACTCTTCTACACCCACTGTTGCTTTTGGACAGAGCTGTTCAGGATGTGCATGTGAGGGACTGTCCTCACTCAGAGTGGGCACTGATGTAAAAAAGGCTGGTTACTGTTTAATTGATGGATTTAATTGTCCATCAAGATGAGCAAGGCCAGGACCTTAGTTTAAATGTGTTGTTTCACCTCCCATCTCCACTGAACATCTCAGAAACCTTCACACTTTGTACTTATTTTAGGCACTTGAGGGAGGCAGCTCCATAGATTTTGCTTGCTGTTCTGCATCAGAGACACTCACAGCACTGTAACCTAGTGACAATAATCTAATGCTAGTAAGTGAACAATAATCTTTATTGGATTGCTTTAAAATGTGTATCAATGATAAACATCCATTTTGTTACAGACAGCATTTGTGACAGCAGCTCTGTTTGTGTTGGAGTAGAGTTAAGTGGTCTGTGAAGATGCAGTCACAGTACAGGATGACTCCCCTATTGCTTTAGACTGGCAGGCTCTTAAAAGTCTCTTGGGCCAAATTCTTTCCTTCTTTGCATCTCATATCATTAACTCCACCAGAGAAAAAAAATCAATCTGATGAGAGCAGTCACTGTGCAATGTACCTGACTTAGCATGGTGAGAAGTGATCAGGAGTATGAATTGCACTGCCTTTAGTCCTCCCTCAACTTAATTCTTCACCAGCTTACATCTTCACTGCCTGTTCAAGAATTACGGTTAATAATATTATTAACAACTGACACATGCTCTGTCTTAATTATAAGTGAGTAATTGTGGCAGACTGCCAAAAAGAAAAGGTCTTAGGCACCCCTGAAAGTAGCATTATGCTTTTGAGTTTGATTGCTACTCTTTTTATGAGTTTATTCTGCATTGTCACTCTTCCATCACTTTCACAATTCAGATGAGTGCAGATATTTGAAAAGTTATACAGACCACTATTGAAAACAATGGTTTGAAACATTGCAGTAAATGAACGAGTAACAAATTGCACACCATTTCATCTGTGTATTATTTATTTAAAGCCAACAGGAAGGTGAACTTGCTTAAAATAAGCATTTTTCAGGTATTCCAAGGTTTCTGCACTAGTGAGTTGGTAGTGTCAATCCAAATGCCACCGTTGTTGGTAGGACTCAGCAGGCTACTCCATAAACATAAAGATGGACCCTAGTACTGGGATTTTACCACCTACCATAGCTCTTCAAGAAGTTATTTGCTTACCGTGACAAAGCAAAGTACTTTAGTGCAAGCTTAACTAAGGCTTGTGAGTGTTCCCAATGAAATGAACAGGTCTGTAGTATGTTACGAAGCACCTACTGGGTATGGTAAACATTGTTCCTAAAACTGAGCATTTTCATCACAGAATTTAAGCTTTAATCAATGTTTAATTATAAAGGCTTCTATTTCAGGCAGTTTATAGATAAAATGCCAGTATCTGTGTGATACTGTCTGTGTTTCACAACAGACATTTAAGTGAATGTGCAGAGAGAACACATCATACTGCATAAGGCAACCCACGTCTGTAATTAATAATGTGTTTGGTGCAGCCTCTACTTAACTGAAACATAAGAGAAAATTGCTTCAGGAAACTAAAACACGCAAAGATGCAGAGCAAGCACTTATGGTGGTCTCAGCCCTATGAAAAATAATAAGAATATGAAATGCATCCATATGGTTCAAATAAAGGGAAGCGCGTGTTCCCAGTTAATGACACGCTTAGCGGAGAGCCATTCCTCCTCCTGCAGGGGAGCTGGGAGGTAGCGTCACCTGGAGCTCCCGACAAGCCAGGAAGGCCCCTCCTCTGAGATCACATTCCAGTGCTTCCAGATGTGGAGCTGTGTAGTCAAGGCTACTGTGTTTGATTTTTAACTCCAGCCCTCGGACACTGGGGAGGATTCCCTTGGCCTGGATTGCCATTCCCCATAGGATTCTCATGCCTTAGCAAGACGAGGTCAAGAAAAGGGGAGCAGGAGGAACTGGACATGATGAATTACATCTGTTATTGCGACGGTCACAGAGTGCAAGGTTACTATGGCAATAATTACTTGTAAAAAGACCCCCAAATTTGCAGGTCTGGCTAATGCTGAGAGCAAGCCGAGAGCTCCGCAGGGCTGTGCAGCACAGGGATGGAGCCAGGCAGGCGGCTGGGGTTTTACACTCCTCAGTGCTGCCCTGCCGGGCTGCTGCCACAGCCACAGCTGGAGACACTTTGGTAGGCTCTGCACTACCCCTGCCTTTTAAAGAACAAAAGCAACCAAATGCAAAGCAGCAGTTCTTTACATTCTGCTTTCTACTGAACATATGGTAGAGTCTCCCATATAGCTTGTGATAATGCAGCTGATAAAAAAACCTTAATATTTGCAAATGCATGTTAAAAATCCACGTGTTATTGACCTCAGCTTTTCCAGATCTTTTAAAGGTGCCCAAAGTTTCATGCTATGTATTCCATGAACAGTCTTAGCTCTACCTCTCTCTCAGTCCTTCATCTGAGTGGAAAACTGCTTGTGAGGTAGCAAAGAGGCTTTTGAAATTCATTGCCAATTCACTATCAAGGAGACCTTCAGGTGAATCAGATAAAGGCCTGACTGGCTCCCTTTAAACCAGACTCTGCATGTGCATTCAATTGTTTTGTGTGAATGCAATGAGTAAGAATTGAATTAAACTCCCCTCCTAGCCAATATATCTTACCATTTTCTGGTCTAAGAGGGATGGTTTGCAGAAGTCTGTGGGGTGTGGAGAAAGAGGAAAACAATATAATATTTTATGAAATCTCTGATCATGTATTACTTGTTTCTACTTCACAAACTTCTGGATTGGTAGTATCTTCAGGCTATTCTCCTGATGGATGAGAAAGGATCAGCCAAACAGGGAGCAGAGCCAGTGTTACAAGACCCTTGTAATCATGGGCAAAATCAATTTTGAATGAATTGTGTGTGTGACACACACATGCACAACAAAAAACTGAGCATTCTAATTGATTAAGAAACAAAGACTCAAGTTGCTACCCTCATGAACAAAAAATGTTAACTATGTTTGGGTAATTAATATATCTGGTGAAATTTCAAACTAAGTGCAGCTGTTACACAATCACAAAAAGCAGAAGATTTGTGTGTATTTGCTTGCTCAGCTATATTAATTGGCACTGAAAAACAAATACTGTTTCCTGTGTTCATGGCAAATGGAAACTTCTACAATGAATTCAATTTCATCAAGATTTTCCTGATGAAACTTTACTTATCAAACTGCAGCTTAGCATTTTTTTGCCCATCTTTTATTTGAAGAAAATGGGGAGTTTGAGTATGTAGCCTAAAACAGAATCAGATTTAGGACATTACAGTAGATTCTGATATACATTTGGTCACCTTAAGGGAAGTCAGAATTATTTAAAATATGAATTCCTGCATCGAACGGAGTTCTTAGTAGTCACAGCCAGAGGAATGCATTTTATTAACATCAAGTGGTATTTATTTCAGAAACAGTTTATGGTTTAAAGGGCTATTTTTGATAGTCATTGTTGCTGGTACATGAAAACTAGAGAAAACATGCGTTTTATTTTTAATTTTTTTTTTCCATGGCAGTGCAATATATGATCAAGTAAACGAAAGATGTTTCTATAGGGATAGAAAATGTATCTCAGCTCAGAACCACACCAAATCTTGTAAAAAAATTTTTGGCTTAATAAAAACTACGTGGTGAATGTATGGAATCCAGAGAATGTGTTTATCTTGGGAGCTCTTGAGATCTTGTTCTTGTATTTCTTTCTCTGGAAAGTATATAGCACACTTTTTTTTTTTTTTTTTTTTTTTTTTTTTTTTTTGGTTTTCAGGTGTTACAGGATAGAACAGGTACTGGGAAGGATTTATGAAAATAGAGGTGAGAGAGAGGACCTTGAGACACTGAAGACTGCAGTTCATTACCAGGACTACAGAAATAAAAAAAAAATTGGCATGGTACATTTGAACCTCAATAACTACTTCAGTGGCAATTTTTTGGCAAGCAACTCATAGTGCACTACATATCACACGATGTATATTTTGTTGGAAGTTGTGATGTTTCCCTTAAGGAGTTGAGGGAAAGAAGTGAGGGCAGGGAGAGCCACAATCACCCTGCTCTGCATCACGTGCTGTCTCACCTTCATGAATTTTGAAAGCTCCACAAAGATCTTCCACATCCATCGGGCCTGAGGAGCCCCATGGAGATAAAGCAGTGAACAGATCCTCCTCTACAACTCTACATGGGAAAAAACCCAAACACAGCACAAACAGTTACTGGCAGCAATTTCAAGGGGCCAAATTTCATATCCCATCACACTCCAGGGTCTAAGAAAAAACCCCAAAGAAGCGGCATTCAGCCCGTGCAGTTTTACTGCTAGAGGTTTTCTGGGCTGCCCTCTAGTGAGACCTCTCAGTGGCACAGTCCCTAACCTGGAGGAGTTGGCTGGGCAGGAGTGAAGGTGCTGTGTTTAACCTCCTTGTCTTGGTCTGCAGTTTTAGATCTGCAGCAGTTCCTCCCTGAGCAGTAGTGACTAGGCACTGGACACATGTGAGGGCAGGAAAGAGAGAAGTTCTATCCCGGGAATTTCTTGGCATTGTCACGATGATAATTAAAGGGTGATTTTCTCATTAAAAAGATGGGCAACAGCATGTAGTAGGTTTCCGCAGTTATTTTACATTCTAAGATTTAAGGATGGATGATTTTCAATTGTTAGCCAGGAAAGATCATCTTATCCAAGTATTTTGAAATCTGGTTTAGTTAAGTGTGATACTCAAACTCACTCTATTATGGGCCACCATTTCTTACAAAATCTGTCTTGAACATAAATCTGTTGTCTCTTCATTTCAGGTACCTCAAAACCCCGATGAAACTGTGATATTCTCAGAGCCTTTGCAGTCACACCTTGCAGCAAGCTCTGTGAACTCAAGAGGGGCCACCTTTACTGCTTCCACGCCTGGACATGCTGCTGGCATGTTTGGTTTAGCTCACGTTTGACTTTGGAAATAAAGAGGAAAGGTCGGGCCACATGAAAGAGGCTTGGTAACTCTGGGAAATGAGACAAAGGCTCTTTCTTCTGAGCTGCTTTCAGTTCCTATGCCCCACATTTTTATCAAAGAGCATAATTTCCCAGCGCACACCTGATGTGCAGAGGCTTTTCTTGAACCCACACCTGTTAGGGCTGCTTGCCCTCTTGTTTTGTTTTTCTCCAGTTGGCATTTCCCCCCTTCCTGACTCCTTGCTCAAGCTGTGCTTTCACGGAATGATCTGAGCATCCACAGGAGTTGAAGTGCACATACCTCAAGAAGGGTCTGCATCAGCACTGGCACATGTTCTGTATTAGTCAGTGTTGGAAAGGATGGGTGAAAATGTTATGATCAGGAAGTTGGACAAAGACATTTGCTCACCACCTTTGGCAATGGATGCAAAATAAAAAATATTATTTTATAGCACTTCCAATTCTGTTTGCAGCAATCATAGTTTGGCACAGACCCTCTACCACAGCAGGCAAAATGCTATTAAACTGTGTCAGATTTAAGGGAAAAATAATGGAATTTTTCTTCCATAAATCATAAAACCCCGAGTCTTTGCAATCTTGTAATGGTCTTGTAATCCAAGCCCCTGCTTACATTACTTTATCTTTATGAAGGTGATAAAGAAAACATAACATAGTGTACTTGATTATAAATTATAATTTTATAAGCATCAAAAAATGCAAACTTGCAAAGCTTTTGTTCATGCTTAGGTTTTCACATACTTAAGTGCCAGCAGATGTTCAATGATCAATAAAACTCAATTTATATACATTATTCTGAAGCATCCTTGATCATAAATACAGGCTGGGAATGTCTAACTTAACTCTGAGTAAGAAAGATGATAATAGACTACAAAGCTGCAATATGGAATTCTATTGTGGTAAATTTTACTTCAACTCTGGAAATAAAACACTTCTTGATTTTCATTGAGACTGCTGAGACAGAGCCCATGATTTAGAACCTAAACTGTAGCTTTATGGAAACAGCAAGTGGCTAAAATTAACTTCAGCATTGTCAGGCAAAAATCTTACTTATTATGGTAAACTAAACATCCCCAGAGGCTATAGGCTTTCTAACACGGAGTCCCTGAGTCGTGGTGTTTACATTTGCAATGACAAACAAACATACTTTTATTGGGGAGCGATCACTGATTCACGCAGAGATCAGGAAAGCAGGTCCAAAGATGTTCTTCATTTCAGAACTGATTCTCCAAAGCAAACATTGAGAGTGTAACACCATGCATGGGGGCTCATACCCATCCCAAGAGTAGGATTGGAAGAACAAACTCTTCTGAAACCAGGTGCCTGTCAGATGAAATAGAAGATGTCAAAGTGGAGCAAGAAGGACCAGTTTTATGCGCTTCGTGTGTTAAATAAGAAAAGCTTAAACAAACAACAGAAGAAAAAAAGGTAAAGTGATATATTGTCTTCCTCTTTCCTGTCCTTTCACTGTACTTTGTCCACAGAAGTAGCAAACCCAGCAGAATTAGGCAAGAGTGACAAGAGACCAGCCCATTTCCCCAGATGCAGAGTTACTTCAGTGCTGAAACTACAATTTCTGGTTTTCCTGATCTCTGCTCTTTACTCCCTGCCTTGGATATGAAAGGGGCACTTGACCAGTCAGGGATTTTATCTTTGCTTACTCAATTGCCTGACTCCTGTTCCTTCAGCATGCACAGCCAGCTCTGAGGCTGCTGCCGCCCATCCCCTTCCAGCACGGACGTTGTACAACGCTGTTCCACTGTGTCAGTGAAGATTTGCATTCAGGAGAAACAAGTTAGGCCAGACACTTTCCAACTGTAAGTTCCTATAAGAACAATCGTGTATAGTTACAACCCCCAGGTCATTTTTCAAAGTTACTTCTTTCTGTAAACTTCAAATTGTTTTTTCAAATATAATCTCAAATTACTT